GCACCTAATAAAAGGAATTACTACAAGGTCCCACTAAACTGCATGGGCTCTATTGCATTTCGAATATGGGTTGATCTGTGTAAGACTTTACAGGGACTGTCAACCACATAAATCAAGGAGCCATACTTGAACTGAATTTGTTTTTTGGTTGCATAATGTGATGAACACAAGGTGATTTTATTTGTATCATTATTATTGATTTTCTGTGTGGAGGAAGATAATGGCACCAAATATATCAGCTGAGGCAAACATCTGGTTCAGGAACTAGCAAGGCATTTCCTTCCTAACAGGGCTTTGCTGTTAAATGGCATCTTTACTGTCATTACAAAAAAGGACCAAGGTACTCACCTTCTCCATCCATATAGTTTTTAAAGACTAAGTAATAATAATAATTGCAGATAATACTTACCTAGTTCTTACTATATATCAGGCATTGTTCTAAGTGCTTTAGAAGTATTAGCTCATTTCATCTCCTCAAAAACTTTGTATGTAGTTACTATTATTATCTCTGCTTTCTAGATAAGTAAATGGGTTACATTGCCCAAAGTCAGGAGGCAGAGCTAAGAATGAAGGCAGTCTGGGTCTGGGGGCCATGCTCTTCACCGTCATACTAGGCTGCCCCCCCGGACCTGGCAGTCGTGCACAGGATGGTGAACAGTAGAGGGGAGAGGAGCGGAAATGAGGGCTACTTAGCTTAGTACCAACAAGTTCAGGCACATGGTGCTCAGGACCTGTACAATGCAGTGAAGTGGAAAAAAAAAAAAAGAAAGAAAAGGAAAGAACAAGGGATGATTACAAGTGGGCACAATGGAGGTTTCTGGAGAACTAGCCTCTTCCTTGATTTGGGTGCTAGTTATATGGGTGTGCTCAGTTTGTGAAAAGTCATCAAGCTGTACTTTTTATATACATATTTTCATGAAGAAAAAATTAAAGGACCAGGGGTGCCTGGGTGGCTCAGTTGGTTAAGCATCTGCCTTCAGCTCAGGTCATGATCCTGGAGTCCCGGGAGAGAGCTCAGCATTGGGCTTCCTGCTCTGCAGGGAGCCTGCTTCTCTCTCCTCCTGCTCTTGCCCTCTCATTCACTTGTGCTCTCTCTCTCAAATAAATAAATAATAAAGTCTTTTTTAAAAGGATTTTGGTAATATTACGAATGGCTTCTGCCCCCTTTATTTTCCAAATGTTCCTGAGTGACTGAGCGAGACATGATGGAGCTCACAGGCCATGTGAAGCAGTGGAGTCATCCATATGGAGGATTCTCCAAACCCACTGTCCAGCCTGAGATAGCCAGCAGCCCAGACATCGGTGAGCTATAGGCAACACAGCATCATGGTTAGGAGAACGGCATAAAGAACTAACTTGCCTGGTTCAAATCTTGCTTTGCACGTCCTAGATGTGTGATCTGGGACATGTGATGCTTCACCTTTCCATACTGACTTGCTCTCTGCAACTGTAAAGCTGGCATAACATGGTGTCTAACTCATAGGGTTTTGCTGTGTATTAAATGAGCACTTGTGATTGTGGCTGGAGCATGGAACACACTACTAAATGTGAGCCCTTGTCTTCACCATTTAGGCCCATAGCCATGGCCTCCTCTCTTGTATCAGTTACCATATACTTTTTAAAATTATTTTCCCAGGGCACCTGGGTGGCTCAGTCAGTTAAGCGTCTGCCTTCGGCTCAGGTCATGATCCCAGGGTCCTGGGATTGAGTCCCATGTCAGGCTCCCTGCTCAGTGGGGAGCCTGCTTCTCTCTCTCCCTCTGCCTGCCGCTCTGCCTACTTGTGCTCTCTCTCTCTCTGTCAAATAAATGAAATCTTTAAAATAAATAAATAAATAAAACCATTTCCCCATTATTTATTAATAATTTATTGTTCCTGTTCCAAAAAGCATTATAAATATAATATATATCATACATTAATAAAATATAATAAAATAATAACTTATTGTGCCCTGTTCCAAAAAGCATTTTAGGTAGATTTATTTTAGCTATTAAATAGTATGATCATATTACAGAAAATCTGGAAAACAGAAAACCAAGTAGTATACTTTGAGGAGGGTAGCCATCCTCCCGAGGGCGTGCATTGCCTGACGTGATCTGAAGGCACATTAAAGGCACCATAAATGGGGCCATTGGTGCAGAAGGGACTGTGGAGGTAGCCGGCCAGGCTACACTCAAGAAATAGCCACGACTTTTTATTTAAAAAAATTTCAGTCACATAGAAAAGTTAGAAGGTCGGTACAAAAATACCCATATGCCCTTCACCTAGATTCACCAGAATTGTTAACATTTTGCCACATTTGCTTTCTCTTCTCTCTTCTCTCCACACACACTTTATTTTTTTGCCTAATCATTTGAAAATTAAGTTGCAGAAATCATGTCATTTTATTCATAAACACTTCAGCTTTTATCTCCTAAGAACAAGCACCTTATCCTATATAACCATTACATCATATTGCACCCAAGAAATTTCAATTGTATAGTCCTATTATCTAATATACAATCTATATTTATATTTTTTCCAATTGCCCTAAAAATGACTTTTTTTTTTTCCAACTCAGGATCCAATCAAGGATCACAAGTGCATTTAAACTGTCATGTGTTCTGTAATCTAGTAGAGCCCCTGCCCCTTGCCCTTGCAAATCTTTCACAGCATTGACATTTTTGAAGAGTCCAGAAAGTTTTCTTATAAAATGTCCTACCATCTAGATTTGTTTGACTGTTTGCTCATGATTCAACACAGGTGAAACGTTTTTGGAAAAGTGCTACCCAGTTGATGTTTTATACTGCATACTGCCACACATAGTAACAAGTTGTCCCATTACTGGTGTTGCTATGTTTGATCATTTGGTTAAGGTGATGTCCACCCAAATCCTGTCATTGTAATGGTATTTTTCTCAGTAACAAATAAGTAATCTGTGGAGGGGTTTGAGTCCCTCTGAACATCTTATCTTGTTACCTGACAATCCTTTTAACCAATGGTTTCAGCATCTGTTGATAATCTGCCTGAATCGATGATCACATTTGTGGTGTAAAACAGTCACTAGTGATCTTTACTGTGTGGGTGAAATGAACTGCTGCAAGTTAAATCTTATTTTTCCACTTACTTGCACTATTACTTCAGAACTTTAATATCAGAACTATTTCAGAAGCTCATCTGCTTGACTCCTCCTGACAGTGATTCATAACACGTGTTTTCACATTTCTCTGATCTCTATCCATCTGAGCAAGTACATTAAGTGGAGACAAACATATAAATGCACTGGCTTAAGCAGTGGGCTAGGAGTTACCTATCTATACAAGCAGGAGGTTGGCTAGTCTTTATAGCCCCCTTTCCTACAGCAGATCAAATTCTCCATCAAGAAAAGTCTGTTTTTCCAAAGACAGTTCTTTATCAGAGTCAGCTTCAGGCATCCCAGGAAGGGAAAGAGGGAAGACACAAAGGGTTCAGGCAAGAGACTCCTGGCACAATTTTAAAAAATTCTGCAAACCACATTAGGACAGTACAGTACCAAATCCCACGGGCCACTGCTTCAGGCAGCCTGCTTCCCCTGCCCCTGTGAACAGGACTTCTTCCTGGTCAACAATCCTTTAGAACCCAAACATCATCTCCAGACCAACTGCCTTAGAATCCCGGGGAAGCTGATTAAGAAACAGATGCCTCTGTCTCACCTCTGACCAAATGAATCACAGCCATGCAGTGGGGTTGGGACAAACTCCCCAGAGGATCTCATGAGCAGCCAGGTTTGGGAACCCTTGCTTAGAAAGGACCCACTGTAGTCTCCCAAAGGGGACTATTCCATAGAACACAAAATGGTAGATAGTAGTTAAGGATCACTCCCATTATGTGATAGCCACCCTGCCAACAACTGACCCCAGGGCTCCAGAATGAGGACAAATGAGTTCAACCTAGAGGATCTATTGCACCCCCAATTTATAACCCACTTGAAGGCTGGGGAAAGAAAGTCACTGTCAGATCTATGGTTCCTCAAATTTAGTCTCTACCAGAAGCATCTGGGAACAACAGCCCTAAAAGATTCTGAGTCAGAGGTCTCCTGTGGGGCCCAGGAATGTGGACTTATAACAAGCTCTCCGGGAGCTTCTGATGCAGGGGATCCACACTCATCTATGGCAGTCAAAGAGCAAAAGAGTTGGATAAAACTGTCTTGGCCTTCATCGGAAGGCTACTTACCAAACCAAAAAAACAAAATCTGAGGCTATGTGGGAAACGTTTCTGAGTAATTAATTAGCCACACAGAAACATCCAGATGATATGAAACCTTCCACAAAAGGTTTTAAATTTTGCTCTGACATTTTCTCCCACTGGAGGACTACAGGCAGGATGAGCTAAGAGCAGGAGACCAAGGTCCCAACACGAAGTCCCCACTTCGGCTGCCATGTTAGCAGTCTCCAGAGGGGCACCAGGAGCACAGGCCATCCCCTGGAGGCCACTTGAATCACATGAATCAAATTTTTCTGACTGTCAAGGTCCTGCCTGATTCCAGCTTCCCCCTCACACTGTGAGGGATCAAACTCCCAGCAATTTTTTCTCTCTCTCTCTGCCACACCCAAGGCTTAACCAAGATTAACACATGCGCTTGGGACCCCAGAAATAGAGATGGCTAGGCCACTGGCGGCAGGGAGCAAGGACCATACTAATTATGGGAAATGGGACAGACAGAGAGAGCTGATCAGCTCCATGCTGAGTTGGCCTTTGGCTCGCGGGGAATCCGAAATATGGCTGGCAGTCTGCAGCAAGGACTGAGGGTGTCAGAACAGTGGCTGTTGGAGGTCACAGTGGCATAACCTTCTCTTCCCTGGCCCAGGTAGATTCTCACCCAGGAAACATCAGGCAGAACAAGTCACTGTCATGGTACAAATGGGGTACAGTACTCCCAGGAAAGGTCACTCCACAGCTATCAAAATATGCCTATGAGTTCCCAAAGCCAACCAGGCTCACGGCATAAGGACCCCTGCGCCAGCCAGCTCTTGGCGTTCTTACCTGACTGGAACACGTATCTGGCCAAGCCCTGCATTAGCTCTGCTGGCCAGGTTGGGGGGGCAGACTCCCCTGTTTCTCTCTTCAGACGAAATGTCAATTCAAAGCCAAAACCACTAGGCCCGTCTGTTCCTGTAAATCTGGAAGGAATAAAAAACAAATGTTTTTAGTTCAACTACCTTAGGAAAACACTGCTTTTAAAGTCCAATTAAAGTTCTCCCCTATTTTTGGTGGCCTCAGCATCCAAAACCCTTAATCAGAGGAATCTCTCTCAATAGCCTATAAGGAGCCACAATACTAGTCTTGCGCTCCTGCCAGCCACGATACATGGGTATGACCTTAGCCCAGCTAATCAAATTCCCCTGGTGGCACTCTAAATTATGAGTTCCACATTTTGTGGCTCTGAAACATTCCTCTGGGTGATTAAGGTTCCATTACTGAAAATCTTCCTTATTCACACTCCTTATTCCTTCAAGCTGTTAATAAGCACCTACTTAGTTTGCCTCAAGTCCTGTTGTATGCTCTGTGAGGACAAGACCCTTTCTCCACTCCCACCTTCACCCTGCCCCACAAGGGTACAATCCTTGGGCTGGGCTGGCTAGTCTCCAAACTCAGCATTTGTGGACAGGTCCCAAGGCAGATTCCAAATACTGGGAGGGCCTGTATTCTTCCTGAAACCCGGCACCCCACACATGCTCATCAATTGGCATGTGCTCTTCCTGAAACTTGGTGCCCCATGGGTACTCTTCAATCACTGGAACGCTAGGGAAGCATGGATTTGTGCCCCCTTCTCACCCCAGGTGGCCAAGAATGATGACAGTTACTGCCCCTATGGCCACACTCATCACGGTGATGATGAGGCGAGGGAGGAATGCCTACCTCTGACCACTAGGAAACATTCAGGTGCTCCCAGTCTTCAGGGAAGTCCCTGAAATGGACTATGGACTTCTGCTGGAGAGGAAAATGATGTGGATGAGCAAGGAAGTCCTGGGTGGGAGGGTGACATGCCCCCTTATGGGAGGAAAGCATCCAGGGAGGATTTCCTGAGAGCTCAGGAGGTTTGCCAGCATGGGAAGGGTTAAAAGTTAAAATATGTTCATGACATAATTTTCAGTAATTATATCTTGTACAAACATGAGCCATAATGATTATACACATGTAAACTCCTCAGCATACAAATACAAACCATAAACTAAGATGACAGCCAACACCTCCTTGCCAAGCTCCCAGAACAGGGAGTCAGAGGTGAGAGTTTCGAAGGGATGATGATGCCCAACCCTGAAATTCCACATGGCATCTTTCCTTCATCATGCTCCTCATCACCCTTAAGAGGCCAGGCCAGGAGATTGGACAGAAAAAGATTCCAAAGTCTCTGAACCTCGGACACCAGTCCTAATCTTGCCTGTGTGCCTGGGTGAGCTCAGCCCTCCTGTACTTACTGCAGCGGAGAGATAACCTCTGAGAAGCTACGTTCTCCAAAGGACTGAAAAGGAATAAAGTCATCATGCTGGTGCCTAATTATATTTAAAGGAGGTGTCTATGGTTTGCATTTCCTCTAGGTATCTAGCAATGTGGGAGGCAGAATCCATTTTTGAGGGTATACAACTAGAATTTCAGAGACTAGATGAGAAGAAGTTGTTTGGCAAGACACAGTGTAAGCTATTTTCTTCCCTTACTGAACTGTCATATTGGGGGGCAATTCAATGCAGGGGGGCTGAGGGAATAGCTAAGCCAGCTGAGGCCAGAAGAGCCACCTCCCTGGGGCTGCAGGCTTGAGAGGAGTGTGAAAATCCGAGGTAATGCAACACTGACTCAGAGTTAAAACTCCATTGAAGGAGATGGGTCACTAGGCCAAAGGGAAGATTTCAAGCAGCCTCCAATTAGAAGCAGCTTTGTAAAATGTATTAGACCATTATCCAGGGCTTTCATCTTGGGCCAAGAAAAATACATGATTTCTAACCACAAAAACTTGAGAAACAGACAAAAAGAACATATTCCTCAAATTGCGCGATGGGGAGAACCGTCAGATGCAGAGAGAAATCATTTGTATCCAAGCAGCACCGCCGCTCTAAGGAGGCTGTGCACGCACACACACGCATGTATGAGTGTGCATACGCGCACGTGCACATGTCCACCATCTGCCTCCATGCGGGGTGCTTTCTGGGCCAGCTCTGTGGTGGGCAGGCCAGCCCTCACTGGACTAGCTGGGAGGGACAGGCCCGGCCAGATGGTGTCCACCTGCATTTGATTACCACCCACCACGCTGGCTGGACGCAACCTCTAAACTCTGAAACATGCGTTTGGAATGGCCCAGCCTCAGGATAAACACACAACCTGGAGCCTGTCAGAAGGTCTCTTTTTCAAAGCAGACTGCCCAGGCAACAGCCGAGTGACAAGGTCATTCAGTCTTTCAAGTCCCTGGAGGGCCTGGCTTGGTCTGGACTTCCTCACGTGAGGGCTTCTCCAGCCGCAGAGGTTTTGTCTGACCAGAGGTTGAAGCCCCTCCTAGGGGGCAGCTGTCTCCCACACCCTCTGAGAAAGAAAAGCACAAGGGGAAACTGGCACGTGCTGCAGAAGGACGGAGGTGGGTCAGAGCAAAGAATTTTTCTAACACAGAAGGCTGCTAAAACACCAGCCGGTGGTAAAGGAGGCCGGTGGAATTTCTTCCTACAGAGATTTTAAAGGAATACATTACAGATTCTCCCCAATCTGGCAGGGAGGGGGTGAGGTGTTCTTATCTTGTCTTGTTGCAAGGATGGGTGAGACTGTTTCCAGCTCAAGAACTTCTAATCCTGCTCACTGAGGTACCCAGGGGAGAGGATGGCTTTGTCCCAGCAGTTTGGCAAGCCTAGGGATGGATGTGGCAGCATCCAGAGTAATATCAAACCTGCGCACAGAAAGAACCCGTGCCTTTCATCTCAGATGTAGTTGCCTGGAACCTGCCCAAAAGCCTGCCCCAAGCACTGGACTAAGAAGGTATCAATCAGCATCCAAGAGGCCAAAATGACCACTAACACCAGGCAGAGATGAATGGGAACCCAGGAGAGACTTTCTGGTGGGAACACAACAGTTCAGGTGGGCAGAAAAGATGATCTAAAAGTTGGCATCTCATGCTCAACACCATTAGTTAATAGGGGAGCTCAAATCAAAACCACAGTGAGGTACCACTTCAACCCCCTTAGGATGGCTAAAATAAAAGACAATAACAAGTGCTGACGAGTATGTGGAGAAATTGCAATTCTCACACACTGCAGGTGGGAGTGTCAAATGGCAGAGCTGCTTTGTAAAATAGTCTGGCAGTTCCTCAGAGTTAAACATAGAGTTACCACATGACCCAACAGTTCCACTCCTAGGTGTACACCCAAAAGAACTGAAAATATATGTTTACACAAAAACTTGTACACTGGGGTGCCTGGGTGGCTGAGTCAGTTAAGCGTCTGCCTTCAGCTCAGGTCATGATCTCAGGGTCCTGGGATTGGGCCCTGAGTCAGGCTCCACGCTCAGCAGGGGAGTTTGCTTGTCCTTCTGCCCCTCCCCCTGCTCATGCTCTCTCTCTCTCTCAAATAAATAAAATCTTAAAAAAAACAAAAAAAACCTTTTACATTAATATTCATAGTAGCATTATTCATAATAGCCAAAAAGTGGAAGGAACCCAATGTCATCAATGGATGAGTGGACAAACAAAATATAGTACATCCATACAATGGAATAAAGAAGAATGATACACTAAAAAAAAAAAAAGAAGAATGATACACTGATACAACATGGATGAACCCTGAAAACACTGTGCTAAGTGAATAAAGCCAGATACAAAAGGCCATATAATGTATGATTCCATTTATAGAACATGTCTGGAATAAACAAATCCAGAGACAGAAAGTAGATTAGTGGTTGCCAGGGGCTAGGGGGAGTTTAGGGGGAGTGACTACTAATGGGCACAGTTTCTTTTTGGGGTGATGGAAATGTTCTGGAATTAAATAGTGATGATGGTTGTACAACCTTATGAATATTCTGAAAAACACTGAATTGTATACTTTAAAAAGGTAAATTTCATGGTATGTGAATTATATATATATATACATATAAAAAAAGGTATCTTAGGTACACCTCAGTGCTAGGGGCAGCAAGGCCAACCACACCACGTAAGCCAGGTCTTTGTCTGACTCTACCTATTAGTAACTGCTATGATTAACTAAATGCCTATTAAGTTTTAGGCCTTGGACTAAGTACTTATGTCACAGCATTTAATTCTCCAACAAGCCTCAGCCACTGTTATCTTCATTTAACTAACATGAGAAAAAGACACTAAAGAGAGTTTAAGTAATAATCCATATGTCACACAGCAAGCAAGAGACAGAACTTGGACTTGAAGTCTGCCTGACTCCAAAGTCCATCTTCTTACTGCCATGTGACCTCAGGCAAGACATTTAACCTCTCTGTGCCCCAGTTTCCTCATCCATAAAATGGGGATAATAACAAAACAGTAACTATTTCAGAGTTGTGAGGATTAAATGTTAGAAACTGCCTGGAACACTATAAGCATTGTATCACTTACACTAAGTCAAAGAAGCCAGTCACAAAAGACCATGTATTGTATGATTCCACTGATATGACATGATAAATAATATAACTTGTTTTTTGGGTTTTTTTTAAAGATTTTATTTATTCATTTGAGAGAGAGCACGAGCAGGGGTCGGGGAGGGGCAGAAGGAGAGGGAGAAGCAGACTCCCCGCTGAGCAGGGAGCTCAACACTGGCTTGATCCCAGGACCCCAAGGATCATGACCTGAGCGGAAGGCAGATGTTTAACCGGCTGAGCCACCCAGGCGCCCCATATAACTTGTAATATATAATACAAATTATGTGTATATTATATAAAATGTCCATAGTAGGCAAATCTGTAGAGACAGAAAGCAGACTGGTGACTATGTAGGTCTGGGGGACTGAAGACAAATGTGGAGTGACTGCTAATGCGTATGGGGTTTCTTTTTAGGGTGATGAAGAAATTCTAAAATTAGATTATGATGGTTACATAACTCTGTGAATGTACTAAAACCACTAAATTATACATGTTAAGTGGGTGAACTGTATGGTATGTGAATTATATCTCAATAGAGCTGTTCTTAAAAATTGAGGAGAAA